GGGAGGGAGAAGAAGAACTTAAGCTATAGAGAGGGGTTCTGAATCCTGGGGCCGGGGCCTGTGCATTTTCAAAGCTCCCGGTCATTCCCATGGGTAGCCAGGATGAACCACCCTTGGTCTGTAGACAGCCCAGGTGGGCTGCAACACCCCACTTCTTGGGTCTCACATATAAACTGCTCATTAGATCTCTGTATCATGAGTTAGAGTAAAAGCGCAGTCACTGCTTTACAGACAGGAAAGCTGAGGTGCCAAAGGAAGTGAAGTCCGGATTGCAGAGTTTTGGTGAGGGTAGTGTTTCAATCCCAAGGACAATCTGACCAATGCCATGGCCCAGCCCCTAGCAACAGCCTCTCCAGGCCCCAGTCCGGCTATGGGAGGAGGGTGAGGAAGGTCACTGCCCTGGTGCCCTGTGCCTTCTCTTGGCCTCCCTGGTACCCTGCCCTCCCTGAGCCTCCCATCCTCCTAGGACGACCCCTGGTGGATACACTGACCTTAACACGCAGAAGGGTGGGTGCAGGCCTGCCACTCTCTAGAGGTGTGACCCTGATGTTGACAGTACCCCCTCCATGAGCTCAGGTTCCTCCCCTCTAAGGCAAGAGAGTGGTCCCTCCCTGCCCCTCATAGGGTTGGATCTCATCAGAGGCCCTTAGAAGGGACTTCCCCATTGGGAAAACACTGGGCAAATCAAAGGCCTCATGGTCAACTCCCAACTGGAGACCCATGGATCAAATCCAGACAACAGGCATGTTTCATGGCCCACAGAAGTTTTGAAAACATTTTGAATTAGTTGCTAACATTTTTTAATTGGGAGATTTTTACATAAAAGTCCAGATATCTGGCCTCATTTGAAAAAATCAGAACAACTGTCAACACGACCTGGCAACTCCTGTCTGGGAGGAGTGGCAGCTGCTTCCCTTAGAAGTGAAGCCTCGCCCCAGGGACACCATGGAATCAACAGACTGTGTGGCCGCAATGCATGGTCATGACCTTGGGTGGCCAGACCTCTGTCCTCTGGCTTCTAGACATTCCACCTCCCCTCCACCACCCTTTCTCTTCATGGCCTTGGGGACACCCTGGAGACCTGGGGTCTCTTCACCTTCATTACTGCTCTTTCATTTGGACTGACCCTTGCCCTGAAGGTCATCTTACATTTAAGAAAATTGTCAGTTAAAAGCACAGACTTTGGGGTCCTGCATTTGAGCTCCAGCCGTGTCGCCCTCCCACTACGCGCCCTGGGCACGCCCCTTAGGCTGTCTGAACCTTGGTCTCCACTCCAGTGGTTGTCAGGAGGGATTCACAGGGTTGAGTCACAATTCGCAAGCACGAAATGATTGCCAGGACTGTCATTATTTTAATTCTAAGTCTGCCCATTAAAAGCATCTCCCATCCTCCCATCGAAATGACGAGAGATCAAAACGCAAACCCAGAGCAAAAACCCCGAAGACTGCCACCTCCAAACTCCAGAGATGACAGAATGGATCTCTCCTGGCTTGGATTAAAGCTTGGATACTTTTTTCACTTTAGTGAAAAAATGAAAAAATAACTAACTAAAATAAAAATCATCAGAGGATGAAATATGAGACGTAGGACAGAAGGCGAAGTAGAGGAATGGGACATGTCAAAACGGTGGCACAGCAGCTTCAAGGAGATCCATCTTCATTCTTCCTGCTCTGCTCGAGTCAGGAGAAACCTCTGGAGGCAGCC